AAAAAACCTAATATAACATGTCTCTCCTTGCTACAAAAATGTTTGGAGTACTTGCAACGAATTATCCCCCCAAATAAGTCATGAAGATAAAGAGGACAGAGGAGGGAGAGTCATGGCTATATGGGGTGTTTGTCAAACAATATACAAAACTTTATTAAAATGACAAAATAAACATAAGCAAGAACTTTGCTCTCAAGACATGTAACCTCATTTTTATATCTATATAAAGTATAAGGGAAGAATTGTTCAAAACATGAGGTGAGTTAAATAAAACATCAAAAGGCAGGATCAGGGCCAACTGCCAAAATCAAGGCACACATGATTCTTCCATGGGAATATGGAAAAAAGATGTCACACCTCAATGTAACAGTCAGGAAACACTTGACAGAAGCTATGCCTGGTGTCCTTGAACACAGATGATGAGACTAAAATGACTAACTCAAGAGAAGATGGAATCAGAGGAAGTGGGAGAGAGACATCCTCAAGGGTCGGGAGATAGAAATAGAAGTATGGCAGTGTTGGAAAGTTGGCCACATGCGTGATGGTGTCCCTAGCGTGTGCTGATGTTTGTTGCAATACAGGACATGAGGAGAAGGAGAGAAGATGAGAGCTCTTTGCATGAGAAGCATATGACACATGATACCTTGCTTTTAACCCTTTCTAGAGTTCTCCTAGAAGACACACTTCAAACACTAGGTTTTTCAATATGGCTGATAATTATGAGTTATTGTTTGGGTTCATTTTCTTCAGAATCAAAGTTATTTCTCTGTATGTATTTACAAAGGAGTGATAGGTGACTTGATCTGGAAAAGTTGTGCAGATTGATAACTATGTGGTGCATGTGTATGTTGCTTGAACTTGTTAGTCAGCTGGGTCAGGAACTTCAATTTCAGCAGCTTATTCGCACTTATACTTATTATTCCTTAACCTTGCTTATTTTCATGAAGTTGGCTCTCTATAATGCAATCTTACCTCTCCCCATAATGTAGTGTAGAACAGTCAAGTTCTAAAACATGATTGGTGTCCACTGAGGCCAAAAATTCCCTTTGGGTATTTTTCTACTTCTGTTAAAATTTTTTACTGTTTGGATCAAGTCTAGCATGTATCCTTAGTTTCTGCTCATTTAAAATTTTTAAACTCCTGATCTTATAATTTATCTTTATCTCTTTGTGCCAATCAGATATTTAGGAAGTTGTGTGTATGCAAAAGCTCATGGGATAGCACCATGCTTGGAGTCATACATGGCAAAACTCAATCACAGCCCAAATCCTAAGAGAAAAACAGAGGACCACCAAAATGTATGGCCAGCTGACAAATACTGTTTGAATCAAATTTTCTTGTCACATTAATGATGTGAATTTGGATCAATGATTTCATTTCAGAATTGACTAAGTGATATTTGTTCCAATAAATCTGTGATAGTTTGAATGAGATATCACCCATAAGTTTTAGGCACTTAAATACCTGGTCCCCAGGTGCTGGCTATTTGGAAAAGATTATGAAATGTGTTTGCACTGGAAGAAAGATCTTTAAGTAATGTTTTTGCTCTCTCCATACAAGCAGGTTGTCAGTATCCTGACCAAAAAAAAAAAGGAAAAAAAGGAGAGTTTGTCTTTTGAAGTAGCCACAAATGACAAAAGCTACTTAATTTTACAGTTTTGTGTGTGGACAGCAGGGATCCATAACTAGATTATCAAGTGAATTTACCCTTTCAAAGTCTGTCTGTGAAAGTAGTCATTTTACTTAAGATAAAAGCCAACTCACTCCTTCCTTTAAGAAAATTCCTCCTTCGATACTTATCTGTGGAGGGACTAAACTGTGGCAAGCATCACTGGACATTGGGTTATATTAGTGAGTGAAAGAGACATGTTTTACCCTTCATGGAGTATATCAAAAAAGAAAAGCAGTCCCAGAGATAATGGACAGGGAGGAAACTTGACATGGATAGTGCTCAGGGAAGTCCCTGAGCAGAGATGACGTTTCAGCTTGCATGGGAAGACTATGAAGAAGTCACAGATGGGAAGAACAAAGGGAAAGCATGTTCAGAAACACTGGATGAGAACAAAATACAGTAAGTCAGTCCACTGGAAGTCCAAACTCTTGTAGCAAATTGATCAGGGGACATAGAGATAGGAGACAGATAATTTTCTTTCAGGAATATAAGCATAAATGAGTCTATGATGGGTGGGTTAGTGGAACTAATAACGTGAAATAGAACATTGAAGACACAGTAGGTAATTCGGGTAAGAGACGTGTGGCTTGTATTGTAGCAAAAAGAAAGAGAGATATGTTCACTTGCTATGTGTTAATGCATGTACACATCAGAACATGCATGTGTTGTAGCTACCTGTTGCAAGACGATGGAGTTGAGCATGACAGAGGTAAGAATAAATGTAACAGATACCTGACAGGCAGTTGCATTTCTAGGTAAAATCTGGGATCAGAGACTTAGGGTAATGGAAAATTAAGCCTTACATTTGGATTATCATGCTTTAAAATTACTATGAGCCGTGCATATGGTGGCATATGGATAGCACTATACAAATAGGAAGTGTAGAGAACAAGAGGACAAGCCAGAGGTGGTTACAAGTGGAATATTTATTATATAGACACCATTGGATGGCACAGTAGTAGGTGAATTTACCTAATCAGAGAATATAGAACAAAACCACCCATGTGCAAGTTTGATGGAGGTCTCAAATGTTAATGACGGGAGACAAAGCACGGAAAGGAGGGCAAACTTGGACTGAGCAATACTAAGACAGGAGGATGGTTCAACATAGAAGAAAAATAAGCCCCCCCAAAGAGAATCAAATCATTCAACATGGGCTTTGTCTCTGGATGGTAATACAAAAGCACAAAGTTTCAGAGGCCAAGTGCCATGGCATGGAGAGAGGCGCATGAGCCAACAATGATAAAAGTCCCAAAGGGTTAATATAATTTAGAATTATCTAAGTGTTAATGTAATGTTGAAAACATTTCTCAAACATATGTTCTTATATATCTTTGGCTACATAATACCCCCATTTTGGGTATGTTGGATAATTTTGGGACAAAAACATTCACTTTTTGTTCAATTGAAGTTTTCCTTCATTTCTACTTGATGGTTTCCTTTAAGTATATATTAAGCAAAGGCTAGGGCCAGTGTCCTCAGCAAACAATTAGAGAGAAATTACTCCATCAAGAGGATACAAACGTCCTGTTCCTGCTAGTGGAAGAACAATTATATTTATTTACTTTAGTTTTACATTGTTCAGCTAGTATATAATTGTCTTAAGTTCCAAAAGCTGTTGCCCAGTTGCGTCTCTTGTATGTATCTAGTCATTTTCACATATGCGAAATTTGAAATCCTGAGGAAACCTCACTCCACCCCCATTAGCACTCTTGATTCATTCAAATGGTTGGAGATTTTCCTTTGTCTTGTCTGTCAATAAAGCAGCTAAGCTAAATCATTGGAAATTGGGATACAAGGTCCATGTAAGTTTTGGGTATTCGAAACACATAATCAAATACATGCTCCTAGTCCCTAGACCCAAATTTAACACATATACAACACATCATGCCTCTAGACAAGGCATACAACTTCTAAAACAAGACATTGCCACCAAGAAAGCTGTGAAAGCAGTATACATTGTCTGCATAAAATCCTACTCTTGATGAGGAAATGGCTTGTAATGAGAAGAAACATGTTTGTGACATCAAACTCAAAGAGACACAGGCCATGAATCTCTTTCATTTTCTTGCTAAAGCTAGAATCAAGTAAAGAAGAGAATTCATTCATTAAAAAAATGCTTTTGATTGAAATGATATCATTTGGTAAGAAGTAATTTGTCATGTTTTTCCTTCTCATGGATTTGGTTTCTTTTCTATTGTTTGTGATCTGGTTAAGTCTTTCTGAGGACCTCAGTGGGTGTTACCTTAGGGTTTCTGTTTTGAAGGGGGGTCACACCAAACTTCTAAGAGAAATGTAGATGTGGGGGAAAATAGTTTGGGTCGGGGGAGGGGGGACAAAAACAACAATAAGAATTCATAAATTTCAAACAGAAAACAAATGCAGTTCTGACTGTGAGCATGCTGTGCCTGCCTTAGATGTGCCAACACTGCCCTCTCTCGCTGATCACAGCTTCTGGCGAACTTTGGTTCCTGGCCAAAAAAATCTTACAAACACACCACCCCAGTCTTCCCTCACTGCTTCCCACAAGGCATCACCTAAAACAGCCAGCAGAGTTCTTCTGCAACTCCCTCCTGAAGAAGAACGTGTTTGATTTGGGGGCCACGCATTTCTTTATATGGTTTCTGTCCTCCCCCCTCCTTCTCCTCCTCCTTTGCTTTGTCGGCCTTTGCTTCAGTAGGAAACAGTTTCACCAGGACATGGAGAAGCAAAAATCCCTCCCAACAGCAGGATCCCTGCGCTCCTGTAACACACATCATCCTGGCAGGGGAACTGCCATCTCTTTCCTAAAAGGAAGTCAACTTCCATACCCAACAGTCCGAGGACAGGCATTCCCATTGCCTCCTGGCTGCCCGCTGGACTTTGAAATCCTGTATTAACCACCCGAACCAAATTTCCTCACTGTTTGGGTCCTCAGAGTTCCCCCAGTGAAAACAAGCAGCAGGCTGAGGTTGGCTCAGGGAAGGCAGAGAGGCTACACCTCTTCAGTTGTGCCTGGAAATCAAAACATGTCCAAACTGGCTCTGACCTCTATTTAGCTTGAAAACACAAACCTTGCAGGAAGAATCTGTTTCTTGATCTTGGTAAATGAACAGGCAATAGCAGACAATAGGGGATAGCCCAGTGCAAGTCCCTTACTGACATATCGCTGGATTCCTCTTACTACCACCCAGTTGGCAGTTTGATCAATATCAAAGGAGTGAGAAGCGCAGCACACAGAGAAGCATTAAGGAGCGAAATTATAATCTGAGCACTGGCTGCTACACTGCGTTTGCAAGATTTCAGACTGGTCCCAATAAGCCACTCATAGGTTGTAACCTATTCTTTAGGTGCTGAAGAATGTATAGATCTGTGACTGACAATGAGAACAAGAAATGCCTACCATAGCTGCTGCCTTCTGCGTCAAATGTGACCTTCAATTTGGGTGGAAAGAGGTAAGGGGTAGAGCAAATCTTCTGGTGAGGTGGGTGGCTTGATGTCATTTCTCATGCCTCTTGGGATTCCTCCTTGCTGACGATGGAGACTAAATGATGCCTGCTTCTGGTGCCTTGACTGAGCTCAATAGGGGAAAGGGGCTCACTTTCTATATTGCTGGTACACACCACTGATAATAAAGGAGGTGTGTGTGTCCATAGCGGGTTCGTTGTTGCCCTTTCTTGTTTGCAAGTCAAGACACTCAAGGCCTGGAAGGTTCTGCTCCCATGCCTCAGGTAGACTGAATTTGCTAATTTGTTGAGCACAGTGCAAAAGAAGGATCGTGGAGAGTTAGAGACAGGGTTATCTATGCCCACGTGGAGTGGGAGGGAGGAGTGGGGGATTTCATTTATTTTGCCTGAAGGGAGAGAAGCAGCCTTTTTGACTCCTCAGCAGCTAAGGAACAGCAAGAGATGAAGGCAGCCTCACTAACTGACAGACTGTGACTATGGACTGGCTGGAGGAGGGTAAGGCAGATCAGCCTTGATTAGAAAGCAGCATTGAGAAGGTTGCTTCTAGTATGCCAGTTTACACTGGTGTGCCCTTTTCTCTGCCTGTTGCTCATACATTTTAAGATCGCTTGTATCCTGCTCCCTCTCCTCACTCACTGGACTTCATTGAGAAATCACCTTCATCAGTCACCCAACTGGGACAATTTGTTCTGTCCATTTCTCAAATCCTAAAAGTGATTTGAGAAATGGTAAGGAAAGGACAAAACAACCCTTTCAAATGCCTATTCCATTGTCTTGTCTCACTCTAGAGTCCAGACTATAGAGCTAAAAATGACTGACTTATGGGTGAATAGACATTGTCATCTTTTGTGCTCACTTGTAAAGAATCAATTCCTGAGCTTGAAGCTGTTGGGTATTTATTCAAATCCTGCGGTTGTGTTGTAAGCCATCTGGGTGACCTTGGCCTAGTCACTTAACCTCCCTGAGTCTAGTTTCCTGTGCTACAAAATGGAGGACATAATTCCTGCCTTGACCACTTCACCATGTTGCCAAAAAGATCAAATGACAGCCTTGTGTGTAAAGGCTCTTTGACTACAAAGCAATGCACAGCAGCCAGCTATGGCCATGGAGCTTAGTCCTGGTGGCCTCTGTGGTTTCTAAACTGTGTGTGCACATGCTGAGTTTGGTCTATCATTACTTCTAAATATGGCTGGTCTATTGGCTTCTGAAGTTTCCACATGAAATATTGTCTGTATATGTGCTCCAAGCTTCTGCTCTATGTCCTCAAATAATCGGCCGTTAAGTGTTATACTCTGAGCCAGTAAAATCCGCGCTCCTGACCTTGTACCTGTGACCTGCAGAAGTCCTATTGTATCTCAGAGATAAACGCACCAAACTGTGATGTGCTTAAAAGATATATTTAGTGTGCAGGCATTTCATTTGTCACCGAGCAATTTTACAGTGTCTGATATAAGCCGGAGATTTTATGATCTATAATCAAAGGCTTCTGCAGACACCTCTCCTTAATTTGGATCTGTGACAGTATTAAAAAATGGGACTTTCATCTTTGGATCCATTTCGCTCAGTGGGATGAAAGCAATGTGGGCTTTTAAGTGCAAGTTACTTAAAATTTTTAGACTGTCCTTAGTAACACAAGAACCCTTGACATAGACTTGTACTATTGACAAGGAAAAACTTACTGTTTTTCACCCCTTTTGATCACTCTAGGGTATGCTTGCAGGAGACTGTTGTTACTCCTTAAACTCAATACCCTATGGGACTCAGAGGAAAGGGTTGAAAGGGGCTTTTCTCTTGTAATTGTACGAAAGACTCTGTGTTTGAAGTGGCCATAGCATGATGGAGATCAACTCTCAGGATGTCAGAGCTGGTCAAGAATATTCAGTGTTATTCTTTCAAGTCTCATTTCACTTATGTGAAACCTGAGCCTCAAGTAAGTTGAGGGTTATATTAGAAGTCATACTTCTTCAATCAGCCAAATACATATCATCATGAAAACCTGGTAAAACATACTTTCTGGAATTCAAGAGAAACCCAGACTATTATTAGTAATGTACCTGTCTTATCACATTTTCATGAATTCCTACAGGTGATATGAACCAAGAAATCTCATTCCATGACATCCACTGCCTTCTCCTGACCCCCTGGACATGCTGGTGAAATACCAGTGCTCCTTTAATGAAGACATTAACAGAAGTTAAATTTTCACCTGGACTCTGCAGTGTATTAACCATCCACTGTGTGGATACCCAGCATGCATATTCAAACAAAAGAAAGTCCACCAATAATAGCTCCAAACCCATCTTTCCTCTTCACATTCCCTTTGTCAAGCTTAAATCTAAAACAGTGGGGTGGTAAATTCTACATCCGTCTCCCCATTTTTCGGAACTCTGGCATTATTTTCTGAATCTTGAAAAGTCTAGACTATTCACCCTGCCCCTTAGTTCTGAAGACTATACTCCAATGGCTCTCAACCTCTAATGTTGTAACCCCTTAATACGGTTCCCCATGTGTGGTGACCCCCAACTGTAAAGCAATAAAATTATTTTTGCTGCTACTTCATAACTTTAATTTATACCATTATAAATCATAATGTAAATATCTGATACACAGTTGTAGACAACCCCTGTGAAAGAGTCGTTTGACCCCCCCAAAAGGGTCATAACTCACAGATTGAGAAACACTGCTCTAGTCTATGTTGTCATAGCCTCCCATCTAGGACAACAAAGTGGATACTCTCCAGATGTCTTTCACCCACACTCACAGAATGCAAACATTTATCATACAAGAGTGCAGGAACTAAGAGTCCAAGAGAAGAGATGCCATCTTAGAGTTCAGATGCCACAATTCACCCAGTTAAAAAGACACATGGGAGGACTGCTTCATGAAATCTTTGAATTATTTTTCTGAGTCTTGACAAAAGGTTACCTTGTTCCAAAATAAGTAGGAATTCTTGATACTACAGTATTTGAAGCACATTATGTCTTCTTTTCTATTTTTAATTTTTCACTCTTAAAACAATCTTATTTTACATTCTAATCCCAGTTCCCTCTCCCTCCCATTCTCCCACTCCCCACTTTCTCCCACCACCTCCTATCCACTCTTCAGAGAGGGTGAGACCTTCCATGGGGAATCAACAGTCTGTCATCTGTGGCAGGATCAAGACCCTCCTGCTGTACCTAGACTGAGAAAGGTATCTCTCCATAGGGAAAGGGGCAGAAAAGCCAGTTCATTCTCTAGGGATAAATACTGGTTCCTCTGCTAGTGGCCCCACAAACTACAGAAACCACCCAACTGTCACTCACATTCAGAGGGCCTCTTTGGTCTTATGCAGGTTCCCCACCTGTCAGTCTGGAGTCAGTGAGCTCCCACTTGCTCCAGTCAGCTGTTTATGTGGGTTTTTCCCAGCATGCTCTTGACCCCTTTGCTCATATTATTGATCCTTGTTCTCTATGACTGGACTCCCTTGATTGTCATCATAGAACCTTCATCCATGGAGGAGACTGTTTCAGGAGACTGTTGTTACTCCTTAAAGTCAATACTCAAACAGATGCGGAGTTCTATACCTAAGCACATTATGTCCTTAAGTCAAGTTAAAATGTTTTAGTCTTATATGTCAGTGAACACCCTGGATTGAGAGAGATGGCAGGAAGAAGGGAAGAAAAATGCTGTGGCTTGTCCTACATCATGGTAAGCACTGAAGAGCAGTCACTGACAAGCTCCTGGAATGTCTTACCAGAGCACACAAGTATCTCTGGGCCTTCACATTCTGCTTCTCCAAACTGCTTTCAAGTCACAGTGTCTTTCAACAATGTGTGTTCACCTCTAATGAGCAGTGGCTTCAAGTGTCACCACAGTTGTTCATCTCTGTAGAAATATCTACTTTACAGTATGAGTATGTATAATCTCTATTTAATAATATTGGAACAATCCTGTTGAGAGGACTAGGGGTCTAATGAATCCTAAGTTGCTGTTTTCAAGTACCATTCTACAAGTAAGAGTGTCTGACTCACCTGCACAGTGGGATGGTTTTCTCTTGGCTTTGGCCTAGACTTGTATCCTGAACCAGGCCTTGACCAAGCTTATAGTGGGCATGCACCAACAGTGAGCAAGATTACCACTCCTCTAATAGGGCTCAAGGGAAACCAAATTAAGTTGGTATTTGGCATAGGTTCTCTTACACCTGGGCAATTAATAGTCAGGTTAATGAAAAACTGAATGCAATGGACTATTGGTTGGATGAAGCAGAGAGACAGTTTATAGGTAACCAGCTTCCTTTAGTGAAATTTGGGGAAATAATTTGCTTAGATATTTAATAATGCAAGTAAGTATTTATGTATGAGGGTGGAATTTTCTTCCTCAGCACTCTAAGGTCCAAGATGCTTCAGGAAAATGTCAGCATAAAATAATGGACAAAACTTTGAGCTGTGGTTCTGAAAGCAGGACTCAACTGGCTGCTGAGTTCTAGTGTGAACCAGTCTCTAGGCTAAACCCATCCAGACCTGACTTCTTCCTCCTTTCTTCCTGCCTTCCAGAGCACCAGCTTCAGCCTTCTGTCTGGGTTTCCTAGTGAGGACAATGTGTTGTTAACCCCAGGCTTCACATCTGCATAATACCCATCACCCTGAAGAGGATAAGAAATGCTTGCCCCCAACATCCTTAAATAGAGTTTTGAACTTGATACTAAAAAGATGACTAAAACTGGTGCTTCCTGAAGGTGAAACCAAGGGAAGCAGAGATGAACTCCGAGCCCTGCTTATTTTTAAAAGGATCCTGAGTTTGCATGAGCAAAAATGACCAAGGCTGCATAATATAAGACAAGGAAGCTTTAATCTCCAAGCTTGCATGACATAATCATAGTTGAAGTCTCATCTATCTCTCTTTCTCTACTTCTATGTGTGTGTGTGTGTGTGTGTGTGTGTGTGTGTGTGTGTGTGTGTGTGTGTGTGTGCGCATGCGGGCATGCAAACACGTGCCCCTGGTGGTTTTTATTTTTTATTTTGTTGTGAATTGAATCAAGTAAATCATGCATATTCTACCATGATATTCCCCTTACCTCTGAATTCAATTGCTTCTGAACTTGACTTTTTGACTCTTTCCTTATTTTGTTAGAAAACTTGGTAGTAGTATCAAATACTGAATAAGTTTCTTTTCCCCACCATGCTAATATTCCATCCTCCCTGTAGTGAAAGTATCACATGCTAACATTCCATCTTCCCTGTAGCAAAAGTATCAAAAATACAGATAGTAAATAAAGAGATAAATAGGTAGATAGATGGATGGATAGATAGAGAAGAGAAAATAAGTAAATGCAGGATAGACAGATAAATAAATACATAGATAGATGGATGGATAGAGAAGGAAGGAGAAAATAAGTAAATACATGATAGTTAAGAGGTAAATACATAATTGATAGATGATTTCAAGTTAAGCACACATTGTCTATGTAGGTGGGAGATACTAAATGTCCATGATGATTTAGGCTATGGACCACGTCCAGATTAAAACATAGGTTGAACCAGAAGACAGGATATTGTACAGAGGGTATCTTGTTTTCTTTTTGCTGTTACTATGGTCAAAGAATGCTGGGCTTAGTGAAGGGTTTTGCTCATCATTCAACTCAGGTCATCAGATTTGGCAGCTTGTGCCTTTATCAGGCAAACCATCTCACTAGCCTGTATACACTGCTAATAAGAAAACAAGACAGAACGAACAACTCCAAACAAAATAACAAAACTAAAACCTGAGAACATTGTTTTTCATTAAGATCCTATTGAGAAACAATGATTTGTAAATCCATAAAAATATTATTACATTAGGATTGCATTAGGAACTTATTGTCAACACTGTATTATTCCTGTGGGGAAAACCTCAAGGAGTAGGTTTCATTAATGTCCAACAAACCTTTGTGCATTCCACATTTTTCTTATTTATCATATTACTTCTTTTTGGAAAGACATTTTAAAATGAGGTGGTGGTAGGACTTCCTAGGCAGTAAATACAGTAACTAAAATAATGTGAAGCAAATAGAGGGGGCAAAGATAGCTGAGACACCGAAAGTGGTGAGAGCAATGATATTCTGAGGTGGATTTCACCATGTAACATTTGACAACTGACTTCTTTGCAGACTTAAACATGACAAGGAGCAGTGTACTCTCTGGCTCTCAGAAACAGGGCTTTGGATGGTTGCATACTCTGGAATACAGCTGGTTAAATGAAATATTCATTTTATCTTTCAAAACACAGACTGTAAGTGTGCCCAATGCCCACTGGGAGGTATCAAAGAAGATAAATTATTGGGAAAAGCAGATTTTGCTGCCTTCTTCTCTCTGGTCTCTATGCTTTCTGAACCAAGGCCCTTTTCTCCCCGTCTTTCCCCGCCTGGGAGCATTTTAAGAAGATAAATACAGATTTACCATTTTAGCCCAAATGAATGTTTTCAAAATAAGTTGTGGTGCTGGCTGCCAGGCACCGGCACCCTGCACTCAGGAGCAGCCTCCTGCCAAACCCTCTGTTCTCTTGGGCACCTTGACATTCTAATTGCCAAAATGGGGGGAGGGGAAGCCTTACACCAAGTTTGTGGCACCCAGGGGACTGGAAAGCAAAGAATATGCAGGTGAACAGTAACATTTTTCAAAAAAGAAACATAATTTCCTGGCACAACAATAGATAAATGAATTTTCCTACAGATAATTCTCTCTCCTAGTTAGCAGCCGATAACATCACAGCCCCATATAGAAACGTTGCCACATGAGACCTCAAAAAGGGCCTGGCAGTGGTACCCAAGCAGCAGCCTTGAAACCAGACTCTGAAACTAAACAGGTAGCTTTACAGTATGTATTCCGTAGGACGCTAGCAGACACCATCCACAGGGATGGGGATTGGGCTCACACCTCTGAAGCTGCACACACACACACACACACACACACGCACACACTCACGTATGTGTGCATACACATGTCATAAGTCCTGTCTTTCTAGGCATGAATTGTCTGTGATGATTTAATTGACAGGTACTAGTGGTTAGGTACCTGCCTCTCTTCACAGAGTGTGTGCATGGTGTGTGGTGTGTATATGTGTGTGATGTGTTTGTATATGTATGTCCCAAGTCCTAAACAGTGATTCTCCTGTAATGATTTAATGCTGTAAATGTGTGTATTTGTGTGCACGTGAGGTGTGCATTCATGCACATATATAAATCCTGTCTTCGTAGACACGGTTCTTTGTAGGGATTTAATGATATACTGGTGGTCAGGCACCTGCCTCTCTCTCTCTCTCCAAAGTATGAATAAAGCAAGCGGGCATCTGTGATATTCAGACATATAAATCTCAATGCCACGATGGGCATTTGGGATCCCATTGCTCAGAAAGCACCATTTATACTCTCACATGTTTTATTTATCGGCCTGACTGCTTCGTTGCACTTTTCTTCTATTCCCTTTGCTTTTGAGGTCACTGACCCATCTCTTTCTTAAGAGCATAAAGAATGAGAATAGAGATTAAAAAATAATAATAATTCAACGTTAGGTGCTTCACTTCCTCTCCATCTTCAGTGAA